AGCACTTGCAACGTATTTCCTCCTGCTGAGGTACAGTACCACCTGGGCGCTCTAGTTTACTAACTGTAACAGAATCTATATGGATCCCTGTTATCGCAGAGGAAGCTTGGTGGTCCTAATACTGATCCTTGTGGTACGCCAGTCTTTCAGAGGTCTGTTATAACAATAGGTTTTTTGTCACTGTAAATAGATACACTGGGTGATCATTACTCAATGAGTTTGATTATTGGTTAATCCCACATTCTATATACAGGGCTTCTAAGGGGGCTGGTGGGAGTAGAGTTTGGAGGGTAGTTAGCTACAGAGCTGTGGAAATAAAGTCCACTGCCCTTTCTCTGTGGCCAGTTCAGGGTGATGTTTATCATAGAGCGCAGTTTCACTTCTGTATCTCTGTGTTCTCCAGAATAACTCGACTTCCTGTTTCCCAGAGAGGACGATATCCGTGTTCCCAGCTCACCCAGCTCCTTCAGCTCCACTCTGGTCTCACCGGAGCCCTGCGCCGTGTGGACGGCACACCTGTACACTCCTGCGTCTTCGGACGTGACGTTGGCCAGCCTCAGAGAGAAGTTTCCTCTGGGAATCTCCTGAGGGAAGATCTCCGCTCGGCCCCGGTAGCTCTGGTGCTGGGACTCTGGCCTACTCTCCCCCTCGGAGAACAGGAGCACCAGGGTGTCTGGATCTGTCCTCAGCCACTCCACCTCCAGCTCCTGCAGGGGGACAGTGCTGTCCACAGAGCAGGGCAGCAGCACCTCATCCCCAGGCCTGGCCACTAGAGGCTCCCTGGGACCCTGCACAGAGAAACCTGGGACCACACATTAGACAATGAGATCAAGTTCAAGTTCAAGCCTATTGTCATTATGCTCATACACAAGTACAGTATATGGTGTAACTAAATGCTATTGTAAGGTAAGTAGTACAAAAAAACAACAACAATACAATTGTATAAGAAAAGAAAGGCAGTGTGCAAAACAACAACAATCTGCAAAATAACAACAGGTAACAGGTAATGTGCAAAACAACATCCGTTGTGCAAATTCATACATCAACAGAATGAAATAAAGGATAGAAAATTATGGGGAGTGAGCTGCTTGACATGTGAGGTGGATGTAGATTTCAATATGTGTTTGAGTTTTTGGTATGAGAGAAGGCACTGTGAGGTTCAGATCGTAGGTGAGAGAGGCTGGGAGTTTAATAGTTTGATAGTGCGGGGGTAATCACTGTCTCTGAGTCTGGTAGTCCGGGCCCGAATGCTCCGGTACTGTTTTCCAGATGGTTGAGGGTCATACAGTCTGTATCTGGGGTGTGTGGGGTCTTTGATGATGCTTAGAGCTTTCCTCAAGCACCGTCTGTCATAAATGTCCTGGATGGATGGGAGGGCAGCCCCAGTGATGGACTTGGCAGTTTTCACCACCCGCTGTAGGGCTTTACAGTCAGCAATACTGCAGTTGCCACACCACACTGTGATGCAGCCTGTCAGTGTGCTTTTTGTAGTGCATCTGTAAAAGTCAGTGAGGATCTGGGGACATACAGTATCTTAGTGTTCTTCACCCGTCTTAGGAGCGTCTTAGGACCCTCTGTCCAATCCCCTGTCTGGTCCAATCAGTGAGGAGCTGTGTTCATGCTGCTGTCCTGACTCTGGGCTGTACAGTCTGGACAGTAAACTGACTCCTG